ACAAAATGTCAATCGATGCAACTGAGGCGATTATCATTGCCGGAAAACGGTAACGCCGCGCTCACCCGCCCCACCTTAAGCAGCGGGCCTCCGACTGTCACGACGTCATCATCTTTTTCTTCGAAAAATAGCATAGGTCATGCGTGATGTTCGCCGGGAAACTCAGAATACTCGGGCTGCAGCCAGGTTCGGGAAGCCGACTGGATTCGAACCTTTTTTTGCGTGAGTGGTATGCACGCCATTTGCCACTACACCTCCCAATATTTGTGGTGAAAGCAGCATCCCAAAATTACGGATCTTTTTCGGAAAAATACAGCCACACCGAGTTTACTCATCAGCCTTATCGTTAGCAGCTTCCGACTACCATCTACAGGGGGAGGGCAATAAAAGACACTTCGGCCGAGTCACATATCGGTAAAGCTTTTGCAACCCAGACAGAAGACGTGGATACGAGCACCAAAATATGAAGCCCCCTCTGAACACAGCCGGACTTTAGAAGGCCTATGGAATTCACGTCACCTCCAAACTTCTGGCGTCACTCATGCATAGCTACCTGAGAACCAGTACTCTTGATCTGGAAGACCTCCAACATCGAGCAGCTCCGACAACGTCGCTACGGTCTAGGATATCATCTTCACTACAGTCGCCAAGGCGCGGGTTGATGGTATGGATCGGAAGTTAATAGAATGGGAAGTCCGATATTGTCATCGTGAAGAACTGAACGTGAACGCTGGTGTTACATCGAACAGCTCAAGGAGAATATCCTGCCTTCATGTCGTCGCCTGTACCATCTTGGAAACTTCGTACTGCTACAGGATTGGGTGCCAGCACATGGAATCGAAGGGCGTTGGAAAAACTTTCCAACTTGGAATCGAAGGGCCTCGAACCTGAAGAAGACGGAATATCCAACTGTGTCACCTGCTCCAAAACCTCTTGGTTACCGGGTGCGTGCGGATCAAGGTGGTCTACAGTGGCGGAGGAAATCAACTACCTCGCTGAACTCAGGCACCGAATCACGGTCGTGGCAGAATCTCTCGATGGCGTTCGTCCAGAAGGCTGTGGCGGAGCATCGTGATAGTGTACAATGTGTTGTTGAATTCAGTGGTGGAAATGCCCAATCAATTTAACCAGGTATAACTTATTTCGTCTGAAATCCAAAGAAAAGAGTGTCTTTTTTCTTGCGCTCCCTCCTGTATAGCACCAGTACATCACTGGACGTGAACGTCAAATCTGAAAAGGGATCGGTGCTTCTTCTCGTCGTGGTCAAAGTGGATTCGGTATTCTGGGAGGAGAGGTTCGAGAAACTAGGCAAATAGACACCTACTGGTGGTAATTTTCCTGCTGACCAAAAATCTCGTTGCCAGACGAGTATCCACTTTGAATTTTCGCTCGGAGTGTTTCAGGACTCTTCTCCAAGCTAACAGAATTTCTAACTTTTCTTAACAGCCGAAGGAATAGTAAATGTTGGGAAATAAAACGATTTTCAGGCCGAGGAAAGGCATCGAGAGAATTTGGATCGTGACGCACCTGAAAATACAAAGCTTCATTTCAACATGATTGCTGAATCATGGGGATGATTACTGTATTTCTGTTGATTACTGTATCGCTAGAGTTATTGCTTTTTGGTTGGGAATTCTTTTTTGTCATTCGCTGCATAATGTATTTTCCACAACAAGCAACTGGTTATGAAAACTGTATCAGTTTAAAAGTAAATATGCGAAAACATCGACTTCTCTCTGGCTTGAGCGGAAACTTTTGACTTGACGAACCATGCTTTCGTAGCAAAAAAGTTGCCGTTTCACGCACTATTTTGAAGTCAGTGAGAAACTACCAAATGTTGAGATTGCTTCTTTCATCTAAAGTAACCCTGCAAAAAAAGGTGAAGAGAGAGCCCACGTCGGTCTTTCGTTGGGAGTAGCCCTACCCTAGCAAGAGGAAGGGATTGCATCCAGAGCCGTTAGGGTAGCTCTTTGTGCCCCCCCCCTCTCCCCCCGAAAGTTTATCCCATGGCACGACCATCTTCCTTCGCGGATACAGCATCATTGTGCGGGGGGGTCGTAAACGCAGGTTGGTGAGCACCAAAAAGCCCACAGAATGTCATCGCTAAGGGCTGCGTGGAGCGCGACGCAAAGCGCAGAGGACCCAGGAAGACTACAAAATAAAAAAAAATTGATTAGCAATATCAATAGTCAGCATGAATTCGTAAGTATCGGGCGTACCGATCTTCCCTGCCTCAACATTAACATCTTGCTTGCCATGAGACAAAAATCATTTCTAAAATCAGGAGCTTGCCTCCTTTCCCAACCTCTGCCGTTTGGAGCGTAACCGCACGTGCCGCACATTCGGACCAGATCAGTCTGTATAATAAAAATTACTGCTTATCACTCAGTACAACCGGAATATGTACTATTTGAAGGCAGATTGCTGTTCAAGTCTATCTTTACAATTGCACAGGAGTCAGAGCCTTGACGGCTCAGAACTGTGGCACCCAAGGCGTGACCCATCTGAAATACATATGGTTAATTCTACGGGTCTTCAGAAAATTGCAGGAAAGAGGGGAATATTAGGCGTTTTGATGCCTCCTCGGTTTGAAAAAATTCCGATCGAAGGAACTATCCTCGTCCTGCTAGTTTAGAATCCGCTTGCGACTTACCACTAATACGACAACTTCATGACTGCGAGTAGGCAGAAAACGCAACACTGGAGACATTGCTTGAACAAGCCGCCTTCCTTTCTTCCCAAAAGCCCACTTTAAATCCTGTTCATTGCAGAAAAAGCCTCCGCGCATTTCCATTTCGGCCAGTAGGTCTGCCTTCACCGCCAATTGCCATTGAATAATAACGCGGCTACTTCGCGAGTCCATTAACGTATCTCGTCAGACCGACCAATTAGAGCCGGAAAAGAGAAGGACCTGGAAAGAAAAAGGGAAAAACTTGAACAAGGGAAAGGACTGTTGTACCGATCCCCCTTTTTAGGGAGAGGTCTCAACGAGAACGACTGAATCCTCAACGCCATTATGTGCGCCGCTGTAGAATCCCTAGGAGGTCCGCGATGCCCTTCCCTTTCCGTACCGGGATCTTTTTCTGATTGCGAGGGGCAAGGGAATAGTAGTGCTGATCGCCGCCATTTCTCAATTTAGGTATGCTGCGCCACCCTGCTCTTTCTGTTGCCATTTAGCAATTTTTTGGTTGCCATTTCTCTCGCCTGATTTAGGAGGAGAGTTTGTAAAAAATTCATTCATTCAAAATTGAAGAAAAGTTTTCTCTATTCTGATACCGTACTCTGCTTTTGCCGTAGCTATCGAAGTGTACCGTGCTGACCGTCGAGATTACCAGCTGAGTAGCGGCTCAAGTTCCCGTGCAGCTACAAGTTGTAGTGGTACGGGAAGCGGTGTGGAGGGGAGGACTGGTATGTATCTCACATGCACGCTACTGTAACCTGCACACACTATGTTGTGGTTCCCAAAATGAATAAACACCAAAAAGCCCTGAGTTCTATGGAACCTGCAGAAACCTGCATAGTGTGAGCCATATCCTTTTCAATAAGCCACTACGTTTTTGGATGGGAGCTGAATTTTTATTAACAACGAAATAATTTACTAGTTCATAAGAGCAAGATGCCTAGCTCATTTCAGCTAGAAAATATTAAAGAATAAATGAACAGAGGAAATACTTTACAAGTAAAACAGAATAGTGACCAAAATGAGGACGAAATGGGTTTTTAAGAGCAATCGCTCAAGTGGCGTATGACGAAGAATGGGTCCGCATCTTTTTCCTCGTCAAAAAAGCACCGAAACGGGGTTGAGGGCGGTGACACCACCATTTTACCCGCACAGCCGCAAACTCAGTCACACGCACGGTACAGCATCGCTGTGAGCAACACATAGGTGGGGTCGTACTTTTGCGCTGGGAGGGGGGAGGAAGGGTCGTTCGTGCCTTTGAGAGGAATTTGCCGTGTTGGGAAAAATTTTTTCCCAGTTGTGACTTCTTTTCGAGGTCTTTTTCGCTTCACGTGTGCTATTTACCTCCTTCCCCGACGCTCGACGGAAAATTTTTGGGGTGAAAAACTGGAAAGTGTGGAAAATTGGTAGGTAGGTGTTGGGAAAGCCGGTCCGTACAAGATCCTTTCTCAGGGGGGAGGTCATACCTACATCATCAATTCACACATCACGATGTTGTACCCTGGTACACGTCTGACCATAGCCAAACACCCTACTTGTCTACGCCCTCTCGGCTCTCTTCCCTGCCACTGAGTGCGTGTTTCGGTTGCAGGTGGAGTACGGAGAAGGCATCTGGTTGCAGAGCACGTTTTGCCGCTGGAGAAAATCAAAATAAGACCCTCTCTGTAATTCCCTTCTTTGATACGACACCCTTCCCTCCTTCCCCATCCTTCATCCTACCTACCACATTCCTAGATTTTCCCAACTTCCTCGCGTACTCCGGTTTTTTCATAATTTCCCGAAAATTTTATCCTAACGCCGCGAAGTTTGCTTGAAGGTAATACGACCTCCTCCCCCTTCTCCCAGCAACAAGCAAATACGATCCTATTTATATCCTACGTGAAACAAGAATAATCAACTATCAAAAACATTTTCTCAGACCGAATACGACCCCTCCCCGCTGGGATTCCCCACAACGTGGTCTTTTTGGATGTCACTACTCTCTAGCCCCGTTTCCGTGCTCTTCTATATGGAGGAAGTATGACCCTATCGCAGCTGCGGACCCATTCATCTTGCGCACGGGAGGAGCCGTTTACGAATTTGAGCGAACAGATCGCCTTCAAGGCCCTACTCTGAAATCAATCGACTTTCTGAAAATGATTCCGTCTTTCCTTCGCAAAATTGAGGAAATACTTATTAATATAATATTTAAACTTATTACTTGATGACTCGTAAAAAATTGCCGGGAAACAAATAACATCTCCGGAAGTCATGGAATTACTGCCTAATTTCTCATGTACTAAGTGCTACGAGAGAACAGTTGGTGAGAGAACGGACGCCATCAGAAAACTCTTAGATAGGACAGAAGGTGAGAGGACACGATCCTCGCACGAACGCGAATGGGTGAGAATGTATGGATACCATACCCTAGGACCATGGGAGAGACGAGATCAGGGCAAAGGACCAAAGGACTAAGTATCAGCGGTGAAAGCACGTATGGGTTGATAACGTTTGGTGATAACACATAAGGGTTGAGAATAAATGGGGCCATAACGAGGGGTGATAGTACATAGGGTGACAAAAGGTACGGAGAGAGTATGAATGGCATTGCCAACGGCGGAGACAAGACGCCTAGGGCGACGACACACAGGCAGGAGTGAGTAGTATGTGGGGAGAACAACAGACGGGACGGGTGACAGCTACCTTGAAATTGGTAGAGAGATTTCCAGAAGTCCTCATCTAACCAAAGACATTAGATCATTAAAAAAGTCTCACGCTGATCGGTGGACAAGGAGACAGAGGCGGAGACAGTTTCCTGTCTTCCTCATTGTGCCTCCACCCCATGAGGCCGCAATGATGATAGGAGAGGCGCACCGTGGAGGAAGGCCTCCGTGTAGATGTCCCCGCCCACTTGAATTCTATAATACAGTCAGCATGGACTGCGACACGATAAGCTCACCACTGGGCCCAAAACGGTCAGTCCGAACACTGGCGCAAACATGTACGGCGAGAGAACTGTAGGTTTCAAGACGGACAACCATGTGATTTGACGTTTTGATCGAGTTTTCTGCAAAGAAGTTACTTATTTTTCCGGGTCTACTCTACCTGGTCCCGCGATGTTTGTCGTGCCTCCTAAATTTATCCAAAATAGCTTCACACACCGTTCCGTTAGCTGCTATTTCAGCTATTCGTAGCCAGAGAGCTTGCTCGCGTTCAGATCGAGTTTGATTATTGTACTCTTCTATATCGAAGTCGATTTCACCAGCGTGTTTGGCAAGATCTGCAAATTAAATGATGACTCATTAGGAGTCTGTTTGAGACTGACAACAGAATGAGGGCGCACAGCGTTCAGACTGTGCGATGCACGCATGGCGACGCACTGCTTCTGCGGCTAGCGCGTTTTCAGTAACGCTCCAGTGCAGAGCTGCAGCATCCTTTGTGTGGAACACACAGGGTGGCCGGTCCGTACGATTACTATTGGGGGGGGCGGGTATTGGTCCGCTTTGGGAGCGGTCTCGCGTATGTGCCTTTGAGTGAATTTTCCCGCATCGGAAAAGATTTTTTCCGCGTTTGTTGTCTTTTCGTGGTTTTTTTCGCCGTTCAGCAGTTGCTATAAACGAGACCCTCTCTCGGTGCGGGGCGGGGGAAGCAGGGCACAGCGTTCGATGGGGATTCCCTATGGGGGGGGTCGTATGAGGCCGCCAAAAGGGGGGGGGTCGTATTTGGGCTGGGAAAAATTTATTTTTATGTTGATTTTCTTGCTTTGGCCGGACGTCCTGGAGGTGAGGGGGGTCGTACCAGCCCGCTGAAAAAAAGGGGGGGGGTCGTAAAAGCCATCGAACCAAATACCAAAGATCCCCATCGAATGCTGTGCCACTGCGGGGGGAGACGTAAACGAGACCTTCCCTCGAGGGCGGGTCGCGCACTGATAGCCACCATCCACACACCCACGACGCTGTTTAAGCAGTTGCTAGACTTTAGCGCATGTCCCCCCCCCCCCAAAAAGCGACGTATCAACGTGCCCGGCTCTAGGCTTCAAAAAGAACAGGATATTAGTGAGGTTGCCAACCAGAGATCTGAACTTCTCTGTCTACTGCTGTGTCCCAGCGACACTGGCGAGGGCGTCCGATCGGCCCCCATCTGTGGGTAGTCTAGCGTAAGAGCCTGTTGTCAATGTAAGTGAATAGCTCGCGCATCGTGAAGTCTGAAACGCTAAGCATGAGATGGACCAAGTTAGCTAAGTGGGAGGGCATTTGAAGAGCGCAAACTTACCCATAGGTTACCCACCGTGGAGCTCTCCTCTAGGCTTGGCGACGAACATTAAATGCTCTGAGCGCGAAAGGAGATTATGCTCTTGCTCGGCTTCCGGTCACGGGCAGCGTAGCCGAACACGGAACCTGAGGCTATCTCTTCTGCTTTCGACCCCCTCAATAATTCTCATCTATTAGATTTTTTACAACATATTCCATTGCATCTCGATTTGCAACGATTTGTGTCATAGAATGTTTTGTTCTAGCGCATGTCGCGCCGTCCTTCTGCATTCTCGAACGGAATCCTTCTGATGCTCCAAAGCGGAATTGCGCTGGTAGACGGGTATTTGCGGGTGCATGTTCATATGAAAGAATAGATTGAGCTGCAGCTTCTGTATTGAAAGCGGCAGCTACCTGTAATTCAAGCGTTAGTGCGGGGCACAGTGGCCAAACTGCGCAAGAGAATGGAATGCGTGCAGTAACGCCGAACACAAAAGCCCCTATGGCACGCCTGAACGGTAGCATCGCCGCAGCGCAGGATAGAATTTACGTCCCCTTGCTTCTCAGCGTCGCCCTAGAGGTCTGCTCCCACTGTGCACCCCACCAGCAAAGGATTGCAGATCATTTGTGAAACGTACATCAACGGGCACTGCCAGTGGTGGTATAACAGAGAGTAGGCATTCCTCAAACTTGGGTGCCAGGGATTACGGTATGCCCAAATGCGTGTGTTCGCGGTATAGATGCATTTCATTTTCCGCGCAAACGCTAAGATATTGTATACATCCGCGACCATGGAGTTACAGTCTTGTGAAAGTACACCAGCCTTATTGGCATGGAGCTGCTCTAGTTGATTAGATTCTAAAAATGTGAATCCTCGTCGCTTAATGTCTTTCCTTTGCCTCCGATCGAAAGTCTTTTGGAGATTCTCGAAGATTTTCGACATTCGCTCCGTTACTTCCTTGAGTTCGCCCTGCATCCCAAAGAGTTCTGTACTGGACAGTGTCTGAAATACAATTTGGTATAATACAAGGTCTAAGGAAGCAGAAGCACTGCGAAATCAGATAGTGTGTTGCTGATAGCATGATACGCTGTAAAGTAAGGCCTAAATCGGGCGCATAAGTTCCACAATACGGTTTCACCTTCCTATCATTTTGTCTTCATCTGAAGCAGGCTGACACCTTTTTTGCCATCAGAACAGGTGCATTCTCCCTTTATGATTTCAAGGTCCTGCCAAAAAATCCGGTAACGAGAACATTCAAGTGGGCAGGAGTGCTAGCGATGGTGTGGAGCACCTGCCGGATTGAACCACTTGACCGGCGCTGTTTAGCGACGGGGGGGGGGCATTTTGTACTAACACTTGCTAGTTCCGGTTTACGAATCTCACCATGGTAAAACTTGTGAACGCCTGTGAAGCTGGAGTAAGATCGTCTAGCCACCATCCTAAAACGTGTCAACTCGAGAAAAGGCTACCTAGATGGGTCGGCACATCTATGGAAAGCAGAATGCCCCCTCCCCCCGACAAACTGCGCCCACTTGACCACTCATAAACACCTAATCTACTTGTAAGGGAAGGGCGTGCGGACCGCAGCGAGCAATCTTGTATAAATTTCGCGTCTGACATTTGTGAGGTAGCAGCGGTAGGGTTCAAGGTTGCTTAAGACTCGTAAAAAAAGTCATGACTCCAATCATTCCATTGACAGACCACTTATCTGTTGCCTTCCTCGTTTGCATGCTCTGCCGCGGCTCCTGTCCGGACCCTTGCCCGAAATCCACATCGATTCTTTTCTGTCGCTCAGCACAAGGAGAGTCTTATCTGGAGCGCTTTCAACGGTCTCCTCTACCTATTTTTTCAGAGGCAGGTCAGCTAGCTTATGGTTCCCTGCGATATAAGAGTCTGGTTCTTGCTCCGCTCTACAAAACTTCCTAAGGGCTCATCGCCAAGTTCTTTAAAAAAACCATACAGGATTCGAAGCATACCCTTAACACAAATAGATAGAAGATTGCTCTTTTTTAGACATTCGCCTCAGTAAAAAAATCCTGCAGGTTTTCAAATCATTCACCTTCATGGCGTCGTCAATGACTTCCCGAGCTCCTGTAGTTTCCATGATCATCTCCAGTACGTCTTCGCGATCGTCTTCAGACATTCCAGTCGCTTCAAGTAGCTGTAATCAGATAGCAGGACTAGCCAGTTTCTTTTTCTGTTTTTGTCTTTTTTCCTTGTCTATTCTAGTTAGGCTCCGGAGAGTGTGGGCAAAATAGTTGAGTGGTTACTTTCCATTGCTGCGCAGCCGTAATTATGAGACGGTAAGTGCGGGGGTGTAATCATAAGAAGCAGGACACATGTAGGGTTTTGCCTGCTTTGCTTATTCGACCTGGCGTAGAATCCGCTCAAGAAAAATTCGGAATGAGTACGGTATCCTACTTTCCGACCACCTAGCTTTTGGGGCTACCTAATGCTCACAACGAAGAATCCGCGACAATGACTTGACTCAGGTTTTTCCGGATTTTGCAAATTTTCATTTTCTGGGAATCGCTTTTCATAAGGTTAGTCACCTCTATGAGCGATTTCGAGCAATGGACATTCCGTTTGCAGTGCTCTAGCTTAACTGCTTCCAATTTTTTTTTCGTTTTTTTTGCAGTTGACGTAGGAAAACTGAAATCAATTATATAGTTGTAATAGGATACTTTAGGCCGGCAGGTGATATAGTGACAAGTGGCGCATTATCAGCGCTTATTCAATCTCGATTCGAATCCAGGTCGACACCCGCCCAGGCCAACCAAGCCTTCTACCCTCCGGGGACGGTAAATTGGTACCAGATTCGTCTGGGAGGATAAGAACACTGACTTGTACATCGGCTGGCCCCCGCAAGTCATTGTATAGGCCACATCGCATTCAATAAGCCACTACGATTCTGAATGGAAGTAGAATGCGTGCCGCATCCCACAAAGGGATTGATTAACGGCGAAGACTTTATCCTTTATCCTTATAAGTAAACTTACTTTTGGTATAGGTAACAGTTGCTCTTCCGTATCGTCTTTGTAAAATGGCAGCACAGACGGCGACAGCGATCCTTTGATCTCGGTTTTGTCGGGCATTATAGGTGCAAATCGTGGACTGAAATTTTGTTTTTGATGACATGTCTGATCATCTGAGGCCATCTGCATCGAGGCAAGTATTGGCGGTAAGGGAAATAAGTCGATCAGCTCTCTGTAAACCACTACCGCTACCCTAGATAGGAGTACCTGATCGACCTATCTGCCCTTACCTTCCAGCCACAAGTCCAGCTCCACTTACATTCCCAGAGACATTCGCCAAGCAGTCCCTAGGGAGTGTGTGTGCAAAAATGTACAGGAATTTATTTTGCCCATGTACTCCCAAACATTTAAATTCACTACAATCCCCTCTCACTAGGTCAAGAACGATCGCTTTCAACTGGAGTGGTTCAGGTACGGCCTCCTTCGGTGGCTAATCCGAAGAGACAAAAATTGAGACGCGGTGCCCAGTGTCCGATGAATGGTCGATATCGTTGCAATCTTGGGGGGTGGTGTCGGGAGGTGCGGAATGAACCCACTTTCAGCTACCATTTCTACTATTAGTGGCCGGTTCATATTGAAAACAAAAAGTGGTAAAAACGCCGCTGAAAGGCTCAGGGTTACGGCGTTATCAAGAGTACAATTATTTTTTAATTTGTTAAATATAATGTTCAGCGTATTGACTTCTGTCTGTCACTGCTTGCGAGAGACCCAGAGCTGACCCCTTGAGTGATATGCCTTCGTTTGTACCCCTCCGCATAGTGAAATTCATTAATATATATGTCAAATTACCTTAGGAACTTTATGTTTGACGAGTCGCCGATTTCTTTAGACTTTCCTTCAAAGGCGTGAATCAAATTGTATGCATCCTGGACAATTGGTGGCATAACAGTCTGCAATACGTTGCTTTTGGCGAAAACTGAATTGATAA